GCCAGTGCAATAACTTTCTTTGATGACGTTATTGTCTGACGTTCAATGCCCCAATGGCGTATGCAGCTGGTGCCGGCGATCCAGCCTTGTCTAAAGATACTGAAGTGAATCTGAAATACTTTTTTTGCGTGGGCGGTGATTGCAGCTATGCCCCAACAATGTCTGTATGGGGAGATAATCAGTCGCCAAAATAAATCGCCGACCGGACCAAATGACCTTTTGTGCGTTACGACGGTGCATTGACAACTGTGGCCAGAGGCCGCCGGTAACGTGTTGGCCACATTACGACGGTAAGACGAAATTACTTATAGGCGAATGCCAAGAAAGCCATTGCGTGTTTTCGTTCGCACTGTTCTTCAGTTTTCAGGGACCAGTGCAGCACCTCTCTCTGATGACGTCATTGATGGGTACAGGACAAAAGCCTAAGACAAAAGTCAAAGGACAAAAAGTCAAACGACGAAAAAGTCAGATGGCAAAAAGTCAAGCAGGATAAAAGTCGGATGTCAACGAGGCAAAAAGTCAGAAAGTCAAGAGGTCAAAAAGTCAAAACGGAAAAAACTGAGTGTAAAAGACCAAGCAGCCACAAAGTCAAATAGCCAAAAGGTCCAAAGTAATGCAAGTGAAAACGATAAAATAAAAAGCAAAAAGTCAAATGGGCAAAACGTCAAATGGATGAAGGTCAAAAATAAAAAAGGCAGAGCAAAAAGCCAAATAAGAAGAAGAAAAAAGAATAAACGTGTAATGGGCTACGGTAGAACAAGCTATTAAAAGTCACTTCTCTGGATTTAACAGAGTTTCAAAACACACCGAGCGCCTCTGGCCAGGTGTTTGCGGGAGGGCTAAGAGGGGAGGAGAAGAGGAGATGAAGTCCGCCCCATTCAGCCAGTCGAATAAAACATTGATCGGTTCTTTGACTGCGCGAAAGGAACAACGGCTGGGTACCAGCTTTGGATCGAAGAATGGCCCCTCGCGCGCCAGAAGTGAAGGAGCGTAGTTTCTAAAGTCGGGGGACTGCAGTCCAAGTTGAGTGGAGGCTGAATCCCCCTTCCTCAACTAAATTGGAAACTGCACCCCTGGGTAAGTGTCTTAACTCACAATGATTTTTCGCGACGTGATGTGTTGTAGCAGCTGAATAGGAAACCACTCCCCTGACGAAATGTCTGAACTCACGACGATTTTTCGCGACGTGACGTCTTTTAGTTTATTTTATTTAGATCCTTCAACAAGAGAAAACCAAGACCATAAAAGGGCATTTTTCCGACAAGCGGTGCCACGGATTTTGGGCTGGAAGTAACTGGTGGCTTTGGGCCCTCTAGACAAAATGGGGTCTACTCGCAGAGGAATGTCATGGTTGAGGCCTTCTAATTGGTTTCCTGAGCTTTGGCGGAAAGAAGACAAGGGAACCCACACAACCTTATTATCATTCTCTGTTCTAGCACCTTAGATATATGCCATGCCTTTGTAATTTGGAGGAAGTGGTATGCCACATCCCTCGGTTATTTCGGACTGTGGAGGAGGGGGAGGGGGGGGGGGACTAGGTAACACCATTTATTGGGTTACTAAGACCATTGAAAGAAGCAAAAGCAATTTAAGACATAGAGTGCTTACTAAAACTTGTAAACGCTTCCTTGTTGGTTGTTAGGCAGCCACTTTTGTGCTTGAGCAGGTTTAAGCCGTAAAAACCAACAGTTTCTGTTAAAAGTGTTCGGCTGGTTGTTAGTTACTGTGTGACTAAATTTTGCATCAAGTTGTTCGACAAAGTTAGAGTATTCGCACTTGTTTAAGTAAATATTGGCAAGAAATCAGTGACGTAGCTTTCCATGGCCTCTGTAGGCAGCCACATTTAGCGCAGAGGCCTCAGTGTGTTTTAAGGTAAGCCTCTAAATATTTGAGTCGTCTGGCTCACGCCGGTCTTGATTCTTGGAGAGAGACGAGTCCATTGGTGTGCCAACTCCTAAGTATCTGGCGTGCATTTTGCAAAACTGATTAACGATAAACCTTGTCTGACCTATTGATTAGTCATAAGTATCTTCAATAACGGAGCTCCTATTCCCACGCATTCCGTGAGAAACAGTGTTAATCCGTCTTGCTTACCTCATTGGCCATTGGGGGAAAGGGCTGTGAAAAAAGTGTGAAGTGTGGGAAGTGTGGGAAGTGTAGGACAAGTGGAAAGGCTATTATTTATGCCATCTTTATCCCTTTTGGCTTTCATCCCTGCAATATTGTACATTTGACCTTTATTTGACTACAGCTCACTTTTATGTTTAACTTTCTAGCATTTGCCTTTTTGCTATTTGACTTGTGTCCTGTCTTCTTTTGCTATTTGGCTTTTATCCATTTGACTTTTATTCCTTTTAACTTTTTGCCTGTTTGACTTTTTGCATTTTAATCTTATATTTTTGGCTTTTGCCGTTTGACTTTTTGTCCTTTTGAGTTTTTGGCTTTTGCATTTTTTTGCATTTGCTGTTTGTCCTGTTTGACTTTTTGCCATCTGACTTTATCTCATTTGAATTTTTGTCCTTTGACTTCTTGTTTTTTTTACTTTTTGTCCGGGTACCGGTCTTGTGGGACTTTCCGAGCCACTCATACACGGCTTCTGACATCTCGGGACTCATTGCCGATACAGGAGATGCTGTTAAATACCATGGGCCACCCACCGACATCCTCATCGTCTCAGGGCCCTCGACCAATGTGAATCGCGGGCCCGGCCTTACTTATGCTTGAGAAATGAGCCCCCAGGGTTCAAACCGACGCGAAGCCAATTGTTTTTGGTGGTTTCTGGACGACATAGACGCCCGCATTGTCTCAGGGGTTCTCAGTCGGTGCAAGAGGACCCTCGGGCTGTTATGGAAGGCTACGGCCCTACGGGGCGGGATTCTTGATGTGACCTACGGAACCATGTGGAGACCACTGCACTGGAACCACTACAGCGTGATGTGACCACTTCAGACGTGACCGACAGCCCTTCAGGGCCTCCTGCCCCCCAGTCAGGCTATCGATCGTCGGTTTCGGTGCCCTGGGCACCTCTTCGGGCTTCATTGAGGACTGCCCTTTGTGAACTCTGGGTCCCTTGCCAACACAAGACTCCATGTTAGGCACTGTGGGCCCTGGCAGATGCAGGACCCTCTACCAGTGTAAAGCACTGGCCCCGACTTTACCGCTGCTTGGGAAGTAGGCCCCCAACCTCATACCAACACGGAGCTGGCTGTGCGGTACTGGTGAAGCCTGACCCCCATATAGGCCCTCATCGACTCAGGGTGTCCCCGATCGGCGCAAAGGACCCTTTGACTGTCATCTGGGGGCTCGTTCCCACAGGCCGGGGCCCGGAAGAAAAGTCGGCCAGCCCTCCGTGCCCCAAGGCCATCCTGTCGGGCCCTTGATCGTCGGTCCCGGTGGACTCTCTAGGGTCTCTTCGGGTCTCCTCGAGGACTGCCTCTGGCCAACTCGGGGCCCGTTACCAAGCCAGGGCCGCTGACAAACGCCGGTGCCTCAACCCTCATTAGGTCCTTATCGACCCAGGGCCCCACATCGGCGCAAAGGGCCCCCTGGCTGTAATTAAAGTGCTCCTTCTGCGGATCGGGGCCCCGAATACGCCCTCCGGCCGGCCTTTCGGGCCCTTAATTGTCGGTTCCAAGGGGTCCTTTGGCCTCCTCGAAACCAAAGGGGAGACATAGGGGGCATGTGCACAGGAGGTACATGCCCTTGTACCCCCCCCCCCCCTCCCCATCCCTTTCTGCCTGCGCCGCTGTAAGTCCAATTGGGCAGATAGAAATCAGCGGTGGTCTGGCCACCTGGGCAAGTGGATAAATGCGGTGGTTTATTATGCCCCACTACTAAAGGCCCAGGTATGAGAGACTGGTGTTTTAGTTAAATTTGACCTTACCAAAGGTCGCCGCCGCGCGCTCGATTCCCTCTCTACTTACGATGTGATAGGCGTGTGTTAGGAGCATACCTACCTCGGCTCGCTTGGCGAGTGAACTCAAACCAGCGGCCCGGCATGTAGGGCCGGCATCACCGGCGAAGCACGTCCCCAACGATCTGGAAATTTAGTATAAAACCTGTGACGCTGTAATGTAAAGATGGACCCGAAGTACCATTTCCCAAAGACGTCAGGCCACGCTGCCGTCCTGGTCAGCAAGGTCACACTTGAACTGTATTGCAATGCTAGTATGGGAAATGATCGTACACGAAATGCCGTGTGACAAGATATTGTGAGACCCCGTGCAGTCAAGACAAAGCGCAATATTGCCGTTCTTTATTGCCGTAATTGCCGTTCTTTAACCAAAATGCATCGGTTTGTGACAGCTCCGCAGCCGTCAACCTTTTCAGGGTGGCTGGGCGAGTCCGGCAGCGCCCCTCCTCCTCCTCCTCCTCCGGCGACAGGTGTGACTCCCGCGCCACTCGCAGCACTCTGACAAGCCCGCCGCCACAGATACCTGATGGCGGACAGGTGCTCGCGACTGAGGGTCGGGACCAGAGCGTATCACCGCCTTCCGAGCACAGCGTCACGGAAGCAAGCCCGGAATACCTCCTTCGTGCCCCAGCACATCACGGAATCATGCAGTACCGCCACGCTGCCCCAGCACGTCGTTGTTGTATTGGGATCAGAGTACCGCACCGCTGGCCCAGCGCAGCGCCACGACAAAGCTGGTCACCACGCTGCAGACGGCCGCTGCCGCCTCAGTTGCGGTTGACGTGTACTGGCGCATTCGGAGCGCGCTGGGGCATTCCGGCATGCCATGGGAAGCCGTGTCCGCTCTTCGGCAGGGCTGCCGCTTCTACGACGGGATGCGTCCACGTGACGAGAGGGAACCTCGGCCCAGGACCCGTCCCCGAGGACGTCCCGTCAGGATGGGGGGGGGGGGGGGGGGGCAGAGAGCGCTCGCGCGCAGCAGAGCGTCAGGTGAAAGCCAACCCGGTACCTGTCGTTGACGTCTGCTTAGTTCGCAACGTAAGGCAGAGGGCTAGTTACTGCACGGCATACGATCAGCTTTATGGCATAGACTGCGAGTGAACGTGTATTACAAACGAACTAAAAACATTGACATTTATTCATATCACCTCACAACAAACGCCGGATGAAAACCACTGCGCCAACCGAAGAAAGCTAAATATGACCTAACGCAAGGTGGACGCGTATAAAAAATCCAGGAGACACGATGACAAAATAGCATGAGGCACGATCGAAATGTGACATTAACAATCGCACAACCGATGAGACAATATCATACACCGTCCTCCAGCGCACCACGCCCGATTCCACCCGCACCAACAACTGACGCCACTCCGCGCCAGCACTGTCCCTCCCCTCCCGGCTCCTCGTCGCCTACGACGCTGCGCAGGCGCCGGCACGTCCGTCCGCGAGCGGCGGCCTCTCACATGCTCGCCGGCACGCGCGGCACCTCACTGCTGACGGCGCGGGCACCTCTCACTGCTCTCGCCGCGGTCTCTCACCGCTCCACGACGTGGCGGGCGAGGCCCCGCCGACGTCCCACGCGCCGGGTCGTCCCGCCGCCGCCCCGGCAGCGCGGCTATCACGTCCGGCGGGCGGCCCGCAACCGCCGCGTCTCTCAGCTGCCAGCCTCGGCGACCGACCGGCCGCTCCGCCGGCCGCCTCACATCTTGTTGACGTCGATCAGTCCCTTGACCTTGAGCTTCTCGGCCGTCTTGAGCAGGTCGGGCAGCTGATCCTGGCCCACGTTCACCTCGCCGGCGTACATGAACTCGAGGATCGCCTGCAGATGGCCGAACGGCACGTCCTTGAGGATGATGATCGGATGCTTCGACGGGTTCTCCTGCGGATGACAGGCGGCCTTACGGCACCGTCGACGGCACCCGGTGATCGCGGTAGTGCCGACGGACTGATGTTCAAACTGATGCTGGGATATGCAACATCGCACCACTTTGCGGCCTTCTGTGCCAACAAACCTCGAGGGACAATTGCAAGCGGACCAGAACGATGCAACGCGCCGGAATTTCATTCAAAAATGGAAATGGCACGCCAGCTTTGTAGGATACAATTAGCTAGCAGCGCACCTTCCCAAGATACACACAAAGATGTGCTCACAGTATATTGCATCTCACACATACCTCGGCCCAATGGGGCACACTCTCACCTCTAGCAGCGTCTTGAAATACGGTGAACAGGCAGAGAGTACCATCTTGTGCGCCTTACACGTCTGACCTTCGCAGGCCAGCGTTACGTCCAGGAAATTTTTCTCGCTGCGCAGGTGTTTAAAGGAAGAGACCATGTTCGACTGAAAGTCGTTCCATCGCAAGCAGTACTGCTGGCCCGCCATTTTGAAGCACCAATCTGACAACATGATTAAGAGGGTGGTAATTGCATCAGCAGAGTGGAATGACCAAAGCAGTTCTGAGATTAAGGTTGATACAAGCGAGGTCTCGTTTCAGGTCTTGGTCTTGAATTCAGAGGTCTCGAGTTCCGGAGTAGCGGGATTATGTGTCAAGGGTTCTTCTAATAACAAGTACCCTTACCATATCTGGTCACATGGGTTGAACAACGTTATCAAGCAAGTATTGTCTTTATTGATAACAGATGAATGGCTTACGAGTCCTGCAACACAATCCGCGGGAAGTTACCTCGAACCTGCCAGGCAGTCCGGGGTTAAAATCGATTAAAGCTAGAAGGCCTGGCTCAGTGAAGGGATCGGATGAGTGGCACTGAACCCCGCGCCTTATCTGCTCTTTTCATGGCATGGCTTTTTCTTGGATGATAGCAGCTCTAACGCTTAAAGGATGGCACACAAAGTCCTCATGACACCGTGCAGTACCAATAGAGCAATCCATGGACAGTCTACTTCCACCTGCTACCCAAGACGTTGGTAAGCAGAGGCTGGTGAAAATAAAAAGCGGTGTCGCAAGCATACTGCGTCCCAACTTGGGCTCCCATTGTAACGGTCCTCAAAATCTGGCTTACTATACCAACGCATATAATGACGTACTTAATGCTCAATGCCATAAACACGCAGTAAATCTTCCAAATTCGAGCATTTGTGAATAAAACAATGCCACTTTGAGGCAGGAGAGCGGATCTGGTGGCTTCTTTGTGTCTTGGTTGCCTCAGGGTGATAAAAGACGAGGAGAGAGAGCGAGAGAGAGAGAGAGAGAGAGAGCGAGAGCGAGAGAGAGAGAGAGAGAGAGAGAGAGAGAGAGAGAGAGAGAGAGAGAGAGAGAGAGAGAGAGAGAGAGAGAGAGAGAGAGAGAGAGAGAGAGAGAGAGTGAGAGAGAGAGAGAAGAGAGAGAGAGAGATAGAGAGAGAAGAGAGAGAGGAGAGGAGAGAGAGAGAGAGAGAGAGAGGAGAGGAGAGAGAGAGAGAGAGAGAGAGAGAGCTGACTGAGAAATAAATAACTTGAAATGTATGTACAGTGCATTTTTCTAACACCATCTGTTTCGTCGGAGCCTTAACTATGCCTGGCTTCCGTAACGCGATTCGGTATTTCCTTTACAAACTCGCCTTCAGCGCCTTACCACCTGCCACCTGCATCAGACTGCTCTGAGGTCGCAAGGTGATTTCCTACTTTTTTATTGGCTTAGCTGAACATCGTGACATGTCGTACCTGCTTCTCATTGGTAAACTATCGCAAAATTTCTAGACCATGTGACCATGAATCATTTCCGACGCGCGTGGCATATAAGCCGTACCATTGGTGGCCATGTATGCTCTTTCCCTCTCACTGGGCCCGAAGAAATAGAACCGCTGTTGGTTGTGTCGGTAAACGTTGTGGTGTGAGTGTTTCCGTGTGTTACTGATCAGAAAATAGAGGCTGTGTTTGACAAGATCTCTCTTTGGCGGACTCACGAGAAAGACTGGCACGGGCGAGGTCTTCACAAGCATAACTTTCACGCACGCAGTCAGAAATCTGCTGCACTGGCTCATGGTGATTACACTGGCATTACACTTACTACACTGGCAGCTGTGATTAACTGCCTTCATGTTACAATGGGACTTTATGGGCTATGCCACCAACAAACGCAAATGGCCATGCCCATATAAGCGACATAGGATACGGACACTCCTCTCTGAGCGAGGTCGAAGGAAATTCCCATGTCAAAAGAACTTCTGAGTGAGGGTGAGTAGAGTGTAATGACTTCTTCAAAACTTGATGTCAGCAGGTGTTGGAGTTGAGTCCAATTCCAGTAAATTGATCACTTGATTGAGATGAGTCAACGCCAGTGACTCAGCTCACCAGTTGACTCACCCAGGGGTAGCGCCACCAAATGTTCACACGGGGGAGGCGGTGGCAAATCCATCACGGCACTTGAATACAAAGGGGCTAGGAAATCATGGGTTTAACGACTGGCTCTCGTAAATGATCCTTGCCATGCAAATTACTCATGTGTCTGAAGTTGCGCTAATGTAAGGCATGAGGGCGCTGCGACCAGAGATGGGCCGACGACAAAGACACGGGCACGCAAAAACCACCGATGGGGCAACGACTGACACCACAGCTTCCTGTAACTTTAACATTAGCCCTATGGGCATGGACTGAAAAAAATGGTCATCATATCTTAGCCCTCTCGACGTGGGCGTCGCTCCATGCCGACCGAAAAACACCATCGCAGTGTCGCAGCTTCTTCTCAACACGTTGGATATTATCTTCCACACCAGTTGAATAATGCATAACTCTATAAGCGTATGTAGGCATGGTGGCAGGTCTCACAGGGTGATATTTCATGCATTTTTACCCCGCAGCTACACTTTCCCCGACGCCCGATTTCAAACGTATAAAACGTATCCAAGACTTAACATACCCAAAATTAACGTACGAAACTGTTAGCCTGACCAAGAACATCAGGTACCAACAGGACACTACTTTATGACAGACTAAACTGATACTTATAGTATCATGCTGGTTCATCCCAGCGTTCTTTCTTTGCTTATGCGCATTAAGGTGGTTCAGAAGAGCATTGGGGCTCATGTCTCCCGAAAGCAAAAAAGGTGACGCCCCTGTGTCAGGGTCATGATAATAAATCATGTTAGACGACTTCCGGCACGGTTCTGGCGAGTCGTGGCTCACATTACCGTGAACGGACAGGGGGAGAGGGGACAGTACGCCAAGGACCTAGATGTGTAGTACCGTTGATAAATGGGAAAGCGCGATTCCCCTTGCCGCTCTGGTAGCGCTGCACCTGGGCGTCTCTGTACGGCTGGTGTACGCAGCTTCTGCGCGACCTGGAATCAGAATTATATAATACGAGTTTAAACGAAAGAAAAGAATGAGCGAAATCGGGTCTCTTTCAGATCAAATGAGTAGCATTATGTAAGTTGTTACGTGCATTCGCGAGGACCATTGCATATGTAGATAAAACAGTAGTAACAGCCTTATTGCTCGTAGAAAAAAAAACAGGAGAATGGGCAGCCAGATGCGTTGATATTTCAGCAACATACTTTTATCAATATGAATATCAGTAGTGAATTCAAAATTGCCTGCCGATGCCACCAGATTTCTGAATTCTCTTTTCTTTTATTTATTTTTATTTTTTAAAGAGACACAATTTTTTTAAGTCACCAACACGCAGGGGACTCACCCAGAAGCAATCGCTAGCCATCTCTATGACACAGTGCATGTCTAACCAAGCATTCAAGAGTACGCGAAAATGACGTACACATGGGGACGAATTAAAGTGACACGAGGTATCACGCATGGCGTTTGATACAAACATGCACGCGATTTCAAATAAACAGGCATCACGCATCACGCATCAACTACACATTTAAACGATTTCAATTAAACAGGCATCGCGCATCACGCGTCAGGCACGACTCACACCTGTAAACAATTTTAAGCTGGGACGCATCACTCATCGAGGCGCTTACCGCATCCATATATTCGGCAATGATAAGCCCTGAACGTTGAGGTCTGGTCGCTGACTTTGTATACGAATAGATTCACTTATTTTTCTGTCTGGATTGTCCTGTGCTCTGTAATGACTTTTAGTTCAAGGAGGGGTGCAGGGTCCATACCTCCCTGGATTTCAGCCTGCGCGTGTTTCGCCAAAAACTAGCCACCCACAGGGCGGGGCTAGCCAACCAAAACCCGTTTTTATATCTCAAACAAATAGAGCGCATGGATATCCGGACATAGATTAAGCCCCTCCCATATTTTTCACACCGCTTACACTTAATTTTGTGAACCAGTTTTTTGCGAGCGAACCCCTTGAAACACAGCCTTGCATAAATTATATATATTGCCCCTAGGCACTTGGACTTCTAGATACACGATCTCACCAGCCTTTTTAAGCTTTTTGTTATTCTTTCAAGCTCTTGGTACGTGTCGTTTCGAGTTCCTGACGATATGCTTGATTTTCCAAAGCAAATGTTCATTTATGTAATGTAGTGCTAAGAATCCGTCGTCCGAAAGGACGTGTCTCCCACCACCCATCCCACCAGCGCTCTCCATTGTTTTTTTTTTTATCTCTTCCAACATTCTACCTAATGGTCGCGGAGAATATCTGTTGCCCAACAATAAAGCAAATATTTTCATTGCACGTTTCCTTAACTTTTCAATACTAGATCAGTTGTTTAGAGCCCTATGGAACATGCTAGGAATTATGATATGCTTAGTGGAGGTTGGATGTGCAGATTCACAGTGCAGAATTATACCAGAGTTGGTGGGCTCGATAAAGAGCTCCGTTTCTAACGTTGTGCGGTTGTTCCTTCTCTCCACCGTCACTTGCGCATACAAATACGGGACCCCCTCTCCGTTCCCTGCATGCTCCACCGCACTGGCTAAATTTCGACGCTGATTGTTCATGAACTCTAAAAATTATTCAAGGAAACGCTGTCCGTGCGTCCATGCTCCAGCATAGCCATCGATATATCTAGTTAAATAGAAGTTGGTTTTACGGGGCTGGCGGCCAGGGCCTCCGCTTCAAATTGGTCTAAAAACATTATCGCCAGGGAAGGAGCGCATCGGTTCCTCATTGCTATGGCAAATTTCTGAAATAGTAGTCATGTTCTAGGATCAGCAGGCAATTTTGAATTTACTACTGATATTCGTTCCGATACGGCCATGTTGCCGAAGTATCCACGCATCTATCCTTCCAGTCTCCTGGCTTTTCTACTAGAAATAAGGATATAACTACCGTCTTATGTATATGCATAATGTTCCCCCCAAATGCGCTTAACAACTTACGTAATTTTGAACCGAACAGTAGCCGCCAGAAAGTGCTAGCTAAAACTCTCAAGCAACCAGAAAATCCAGCTAAAACTCTGCTACGCATTCCATTCTTAATTGCCTGCTGGCGGAAAAGCTTTACTCCGCCGTTGCTTGAAGTTGTACTGAGGTCTCTGGAGCATTATTTCTCCATTAATGCTGAGGTGTTAACTCATTCTGCTAACTTTGCTAGAGTTTGATTTAGCGAGGCAATCAGGGACATCTTTCGGAAAAGTTATATTTAAAACGACAACGCTCGCGTTTATTTGAATCAATCTCATGTTGTTTGGAGTACAAAGGGCACACTTACATATGGGCGACGTGTGCACGACTTTTCCACATAATTATTCGCTCCCCGCTCCGCTCCCGCTCCCGCTCCCGCTCCCGCTCCCGCTCCCGCTCCCGCTCCCGCTCCCGCTCCCGCTCCCGCTCCCGCTCCCGCTCCCGCTCCCGCTCCCGCTCCCGCTCCCGCTCCCGCTCCCGCTCCCGCTCCCGCTCCCGCTCCGCTCCCGCTCCCGCTCCCGCTCCCGCTCCCGCTCCCGCTCCCGCTCCCGCTCCCGCTCCCGCTCCCGCTCCCGCTCCCTCTCTCTCTCTCTCTCTCTCTCTCTCTCTCTCTCTCTCTCTCTCTCTCTCTCTCTCTCTCTCTCTCTCTCTCTCTCTCTCTCTCTCTCTCCTTAACGTAACGGAGCTCGACTTGCATCCAACTGAGTAGGAAACTGAAACACTACTGTAATACATTCCCTCGCTTTGCCTCGGAGACGGATGTTGAAGTTGGGCATCATTATCCTATTTGTTTGGCTCGATCGTCGAAACCTGGTTTCGGTAATCGACGCACAGTCCATTGTGTGATTATGTGACTTCAGACAGGCCGCCCAGTCTGGTGCACACGTAGCACGCGTGCATGTATGTGTTGATAGCAGGACTGTAACGATAGACTCATCGCTCTCGGGTTAATCCTCACGCATTGGGAGGCGGCACATCGGCTGAATTGCTCACGTCCAGCAGGGGACCTCCCTTTAGGTTAAGTCTCAGACCGACTAAAACGACGCAAACATGGCACGTGTGCAGGCATGCGACACACGGAAACGTGTGTTGACCATGTTATCGCATTCACAGTGAAGATGCCACTGTACAAGCGGCCTGGACGGCCGGCGGGCGGACGGTCGAAAATTGTGAAGTCCAACGAGGGCCTTCCAGCAAATTAGGCGCAAGACAACCAAAACTTTTACAAACGTAGCACAAGTACACCTGCCGTCGCGTACCTGAACTGTAACGACCGTCGCATTGGTTTCGGTTCCATTCTCACGCATTAGGAGGCGCCGCTTTGCTTGGATTGCTCAAAGTTCAGTAAGAGACACTCCACAGTAAGGTAGGACACAGTGAGGATACCGTAAGGGACGCTCCAAGACCGATATGGGACTCCCTGCAGGCGAGGAGCCAAAACACCCAAAACGGCACAAACATGGCATGTGTGCACGCATGTGACAAATGGAGACATGTGTCAACTCTTCTATCGCCTTGGGGATTGAAGATGTCATTGCAGAAGCAGTCCCAATGGCTGGTGGCCTGCCAAAAATTGCTACGTGCAACAAGGGACCTCCTGGTGAGTTACATGCAAGACCTCTCAATCTGGTGCAAACATAGTATGCACACATGTATGCTTAAACAGCAGGGCTGCAAAGACCATCTCATTGCTTTCAGGTCCATTCTCACAAATCAGGAGGTGCCACTTTGGCTAGATTGCTCCAAGTCCATTCAAGGAGCTCCCTGTAGGATGGATGCAACACCGGCCAAAGTGGCACAAATGTGGCATGTGCAATATGGAGGCAGGTATCAGCCACTGACATCTTTAGTGACTGAGAAATTTGTTCAACCCAAACAAACAGTGCAAACCATGTTCTCCCTGAATTTGACCAAATTTCTCCCAAAAGTTAGGGGATGAGCCAGGCTTATTCCTATCCAAATGAAAATGAAACTATGCTCCTGGTCCCAAATTAAGCATATATAGGTCGTTGGAAGCCCAGGTGGGTATCGCATCGCCTCAGCATCTGTCCCTTATGTGAGACCAATTGTACCTTGGGTGGCAGGGGTAGCTGCACCAACTACTATGTCCTACATGTACATTTTTATGTTATAGTGACTTGCATGACACTCCAATCATAAATTTTTCATGTGCTCTGGGAAATTATGCACAAAGTGCACATAATTCCAAGCATCAGTCCCTATCAAGCTTGAGACTCACAGGTTTAAAATAGAATTGTCAAAATAAACATTTTTTCTATTACTTCCACATCTTTAAAAAGTACAGCAGGTGTGAGCATACTCTTAGGAAAGAAGCACTTACCTAGGAAGCTCAAAAACTTAAGAATTGCAAGCAGCCAGTCTCCAATGGTCATTGGCAATCACTGAGGCATGCTGGTGCATGGCATTCAGTCAACTACTGCTAAAAATGTCCTACATCACTGGTTGTGTACAGTGTAAATTCATCTGAGATTTTGTTCTCACTGCAAGCCATGATTTAAGAACTTTTTTATCTTGCTGCCCCCCCCCCCCCCTAAGAGCCAAAACCAAATTTCAGATATGCCACATGATACAACCAGGATTTATTTAAGTTCACCCACAAGAATACATTTGGCAGTAGATATTTCACATTTCTAAAATGCTACTACACTCTAACATATTTAAATTATATTGAGTTTTATGCCTGCCTGGTTTCCAGCGCATTTGGATGTGTGCAGCTTACACGCAATGTTTTGATCAGCACAGCCGCTTAAAATGAGTGCCCAATGCACTGCTAACCGCAGGTCATCACATCATACAGAAAGAAACTGATTCTTAACGCCAAATATTTCATAGACCGGTATTTTCTTCGTACACCTCAAGCCACTGGCCCTCAAACAACCTAAGGAATTCAAGATGGACGAAATTGGCGCAGTTAGCAACGCTCCACGGATACAAAAGACCTAATTCAAATACTTATAATTACAAGGTTCACTGTGGAGGACGCATCCGTTAAACTATGGGTATAAACGGGTTTTTACCAAGCACCGAGCGTACCCACCTGACCTGCACCACAGCAACCGTCCCTTGTCGGGTGCCAGACGACCCCCAGCCAATGTCGCCGTGTGTATCTCAAATAGTCAACGCGAATATTTGGGCGACGGTAAAAGGGTCTGGCGAAAAGGACGGTAAAAGGCTGGAGAAATATCGCACCGAGATATTTTCAGAAAAGCCGCGAATGTTGGCAGCCACCGCATGCCCCAATGCTGTCTCTCGGGCTTCGAAAATGTGAGCGCGATGCCTAGAAAAACCGTGGGCGCGATCACGGTCGTTGTAGAACGGGTTTGAAGGGTACTGCTGCTATCCGGCCTCGGAAAATGCTAAAGGAATTCCGTTATCCCGAGCGCGCGATCAAGGCCATGAATGTCACTTGCCGAATCAAAACGTTGAACTGAGAATTCAAGACAAGTTATTGGTGCTCCATAATTCCGGTATGTTCTCCGTTGGGCTGCGGAACGGTTTAAGACCGGCGGGGTCGAGACCCCGCGACCAGGGACACCGAACCCGCCTAATGCTGGGTCGAGAAGCGTGCGTGCCGCCCAACCCGTCAGAAGGATGTGGTGGATGGACACCAACCAATACGCCACCAACACAACTCGGCGCCAAGCGACTCTGCACAGTCTGAGAACACGCGTTGACAAAAATCGGTTACTAGGTCACTAATCCGTCATTCACCAAAGAGCAAGAGTTTGCCACCCAGCCCCAGTTTACCGCGTTGACTATAGGTTAGACGTATATCTGACCTCACCTTCAGGCTTGTGCATTGAAATATGAATGTTGCCAAACATCTTTGAGACCTTACACATTTATTCAATATGTATATATATATATATATATATATATATATATATATATATATATATATATGTGTGTGTGTGTGTGTGTGTGTGTGTGTGTGTATACGCAAGTTTTGATATACGCAAGGTCAAATGTACATTTGATCAGAAGTACAGAGGCACCTTTCCGCTGCCCAAGCGGAAAACTACCGCCAAGTAAATGGTGTCGCAATGGAGACACCGCTCGGATGCCTGTTTGTAAATGTGTACATTTGCTGGCTAGAGGACCGTGTCCTAAAATCCTTAACAGTACAATTTTATAGTAAGTTTATATAGTAATTATATTAAATCGTAATTATATAAATATATTATAATTATATAAATATATTATATAGTAATTATATTAAAATAAAAATATAAATATAGAATTATAGTAAATCCTTAACAACAGTAACTGTGCATGTACCGCAGATATGCCGATGATATATTTGCTGATGTCAGAGACGAGGTCCATCTCCACCAACTGCAGGCCACCTTGCAGCGGCAATCGTCATTGCGATTCACAGCTGACCTGAGTGTCGACAGCCATCGAACTTTTTTGACATCGACATGGATGCGATCAGCGGATCTTTCGTCGCAACAGTGCACCGTTAAACCACTGATGCTGGTAAATGTATGAACGTGACTAGCGAATGCCCAGAGCGTTACCGCAAGGCCGTCATTCGTGCGCTTGTACGACATGCCCCAAAATATTGCTCCAGCTGGTCCACCACGCACCACGAGCTTGAACGGTGTAAGCAATTACTCGTTAATAATGGCTGTTCGAACAGAGCCATTGACGAAGAGATTAAGTCCACCTTAAATCGACGAAACCAGAAACCTAAAACCAGAAACCAGAAACCACTCGACAAGAAACCGGCCGATAAACTTTGCTCTCGAAATCAGATGTCTCCATGACATAAGATAGATGGAACAGTATTGTCTAACATGACCAAGAAAAATATCCCACCGACTGACGAAAACACTGATATAACACTTACCATCTATTCCAAGAGAAGAACAACTAGCAGCCCTTTAATGAAAAACAGCCTGGTAGCGAGCCAAAACCGACTAAAGCGCACCACTGTAGTTTATGAGTTTAAATGTCCTTATGGAGACTGCCGGCTTCGCAATTCTACCTACATTGGTATGACCACAACAGCCCTATCACGACGCATGACTACGTACCTGCAGGAGGGAGCGCCAGACCAACATATGCCCAAAACCCACAACCAAAAACTCCTTTGCTCTGACCTGACTGAAAACACACGGATTCTAACAACATGTCCGAACAAACGCCGTCTGCAAGTTCATGAAGCCATCCTGATCAGAGTGAAAAATGCCTGACATAAACAAACAACTTAGGTCATGCATTACTTTCGACCTGCTCACGCACCCAATGACAGCAGGGTGTTCGATGCCTTTACCCTTCCATGGTCTGAAACGGGCTGGAAAAGTGATATGCGTCTGTTTGTATGTGTTTTGTAAGTTTTATATTCGGCTGCGTAACCAGTTAACTGATGGTTCACCAATGATTATGTCTCGTAGAGCACGCCCCTTTTTTGCCACATTCAAATGTTTTCCGTCCAACCGTCGTACATTGCTTTGAGAATAGGAATGAGTGTCCTTGAACCATTAGCTAGTTCAAACTAATATATATGACCACAGGCGAGTTGATTTCTAACTAAGCGAAACAGCCAAAGATTTATTTTGAGCAATCGAACGAACTCACAAGAAACTGATTACATGTACATTTACCCCTGCCAGCTGCCCTAAAAAAACTTGTATTAATGAAAGCATGCTATTTAAGTACACGAACATATATATATATATATATATATATATATATATATATATATATATATATATATATATATATATATATATATATATATATATGTTTGAAGTGTGCAGACACTTGCCACAAGCATATCAATATCTCAGACGCTTACCACGGTATGGCTCTTAGTCAAAATGTTGAATTAAACACGGGTGTTGATTTTTTTTGTAAGGGCCTTGCCCCCATCTTAGCTTGTCCCCCATGTTGACCTGGCCCCCGAAACTTTTGGATCGAATGCTGCAAAAAGCGTAGATAAAAGATGGCTATCGCACAATGACTGTCTGCGTGGTCTATCTTTCTCCTTTGGTCTTACTGCGTAGTGTCTGCATGGAAGATGCAGCGGCATTTCCTCCAGTAATGGATAACTTGAATAGTGGAGATCAAGGCTTTTTATAGATGACGTGTATTTTTTGCCCGTCCAAACATAACCTCGGACGCTCATTTCCGCAAACTTAACATGATACTCACGCCACTGATTCACTTGTCTCATGGAAACTTTTATGCCAAACGTCATTTTGTCAGCTGTCCATGAAAGGCTCCGAACCGAACATTATGTTTCACTTGAAATCCAATTTCCTGTACTGTCTGGTTTTATTAGGATGAAGGAAAAAGGCGGGTAACAGAGTGCTATTTTTCAGCTACATGCTATATGTTGTATGCTCTCAGCTATATAGTCTAGCTATAACATGAGTATACAATACATACAACAGAGAACAAAAAATTTGCTGGGACAGATTTTGAATCGAGTTCCTTGCTGAAAATAATAACTTGCTTACACTCCGAATAACATCTCATCATTGTAACAAGGACGTAACAGACCCATTCTGCCTCGGTCTCCTATCAAAAAAGCACAAAAAGACTTCCACTGTGCCGTGCAGTTGCATGACTCTCGGCGCCCTGTGACTAGGCTGACGCTGTCAAGTCAGCAGCCAAATGGCCCTCTCCGGCGAGCCATGCACGAACGCTTGTTTAGCAAGGCGAGTCCCCCACCATGCGTTTCGCCACATCACGAATGTGGTCAGCATAACTTCAGCTGATCTCAGCCCTACCAAATTTGGGCTTCGGCAATGCCGATTAGTGTTTGTTCGCAGCAACACAGTTCTTTGCGAGCATTTTCCGCGCTGTCGGCAAAGGGCTCGTAGAAAGGCAAAGCCTGTTAGCCGTCACATCACTAACTTGTTTTCCCAACCATATCACCTGTGACCTAGAAATTAGTCATAAACAGCTGAACCGGAATAAACGCATGTCACCGTTAATAATAACGTTTGTTTGTTGTTATTTATATTTACACCTGCATTTGCCCTATACTCTTTGTGGCAAAAATACAGGAAATTATCGTTTCATCTGGAATCATGTGGTTATTACATTTTGAAATTTGTAGCTGCATTCTTTTACGATTCCTAGCAAATTCAAAGCTTTGGGTTTAAACGAAGCTTTCAGACCGCAAAGCAGATGCGCATCGCCGTGCGAAGAAAAAAAAGTTATTTAATAATGTGCAATCGTACATATTTTAGTGAGACCTATTTCGTAGGATGATCTGTTACTTCACTGATGCTGAGAGAGAGAGAGAGAGAGAGAGAGAGAGAGAGAGAGAAAGAGAGAGAGAGAGAGAGAGAGAGAGAGAGAGAGAAGAGAGAGAGAAGTATAGAGAGATAGAGAGATAGAGAGAGAGAGATAGGGAGAAGAGAGAGAGAGAGAGAGAGAGAGAGAGAGAGAGAGAGAGAGAGAGGAGCGAGAGAGAGAGAGAGAGAGAGAGAGAGGGAGGGAGGGAGGGAGGGAGGGAGAGAGAGCCCACTTTAACTTAAAGTGTCTCACAAAATATGTCATGCATCGATTTCATGAGCATTTACGCACGCCTCATTTAACACACGCACAGATGGCCGTTTCATTGTGACGCGCACGGAAGGGGAAGGGGTCAGTTTGACTCCTGAGATAAAAAGCAGGAGAACCAGAAACCCTAAATTCAAACGTAAAGAAAGGCCTATATCAACTCACTTGTGTCAAATTTTGAGACATGAGCTCCAGATCGGTATCCTAAGCACCTCCAGACCTTCTTAGGCAACCGCTGTAAACCCCAGATACCTGTTCTAAGCCAAATCTCACTCGTGTTCATTTCAGGTCACACCGGTCAAAAAAGTTCATATGGGTCATTTTACGTCAGTGACCTCTTGTGGCCTGCAATAAGTCTAGATAAGACGTCTGTTGACGTCCCTGTAAATCAAGAGATTCGAAATGGGCATCAAAAACTACCCCTCAAAGTACATTATTCAGCGAAAAAGCAGTTTGGTTTTGCTCTCAGTTGGACCTTTACGCTGACCCAAGTTCGTTGGAATTGGTCATAATCCTAACCTCAAATGGATAAGTGTCTAAGAACGTATTTCAGAGATGTATCGCTTCGAGGAGGTGGAGGCACCAAAACTTCTGGGAAGCACAACAATGTTGTGCC